TCATTGACAGAAATGATTGAGCGGCTATTTCCGGGTTAATTGATGTCCAATGGGAGTCTATTGTCCACCTCGTCACTTCCGCCAGCAACAATTCTCCTTTGTCAGGTAAGCGTAGTCCTCATGAGTGGATGTATGATAACGGTGCTTCACATCATATGACAGGCTACTTAGATTTTTTTTTTTATATCCGAATATTCCTCCCCGGTCTGTGCAATTACCTAATGGCACGTTGACCACTGCAAGCAATGCTGGAACTATTCATCTGGGTTCTCGTATTATTTTATATGAAGTTTTGTTCATTGACAGTTTTTAGTGCAGCTTGATATCTTTATCTCGGTTATTGGAACAATTTGGTTGTATTGCTACCTTCACAAATAAATATTATGCTATTCAGGACCTCACTTCGAGGACGGCAATTGGAGCGGGTGAGCAGTTGGGGGAACTCTATTTTTTTTTTAGGGGCAATCACTGTCCATGCTTCTCGAGTGTCTTCGGTTATGCAACACTTGTGACACCAGCGGATGGGTCACCCATCTTCTACTATTCTTGGTCAGTTGCCTTTTGTCGAATCTCGCTCCTTGGTCTCGAATAAAGCTTGCGATGTTTACTGTCGGGCGAAGCAATCTCGTGCTAGCTTTCCTCTTCATCGTAGTATTAGTAGTTCCATTTTCCGTCTGATTCATTGTGATGTGTGGGGACCTTATAGAGTTCCTGCCTTTAGTGGTGCTCGATTTGTTTTGACTTTGTTGACGACTATTCTCGAGATACTTGGATTTTCTTATTGCATTTTATTGCTTTTGTAAAAAAGGCAATTTGGTGTGTTGGTTAAAGCTCTTCGGAATGATAATGGGACTGAATTTACTCGTATGCGCGATTATTTCCGTCAACTGGGGATTGTTCATGAAACTTCTTATGTCGGAACTCCTCAACAAAATGGACGTGTTGAGCGCAAACATCAGCACATTCTTAATGTTGCTCGAGCATTATGCTTTTAGGCCCATTTACCAATTGAGTTCTGGGGACATTGTGTACTTGCTGTTGGCTTTTTGATTAATCGAACGCCTACTCTTCTATTATCCGACAAGACTCTCTATGAACTTTTGTATAGAAAACCTCCTAACTATGCGCATTTATGTGTTTTTTGTTGTCTGTGTGTTACGTGCACAATCAGAACAAGGACGGTGACAAGTTTGCAAGTCGGAGTCGTCGATGTGTTTTTGTTGGCTATCCATCTGGTCAAAATGGGTGGTGTGTTTTGTATGTGAATCTCCCCCTTTTCCATCCTCAAGACAATCCATTTTCCAGCCAACTTCGAAGTTTCACTAGCACATCCTCCATCTAATTCTAGGGAAAAGATCAATTGAAACCACTGAATAGCATCTACCCCCATCCCTAGAGTATTGCCATTTGTGAACTTCCAAAGCCAGCTCCATGGTTGTCCCCTCACCATGTTATCACCAGTATGAAGAGCAGTAGCACTAGTTGAGTTCCCAATCAACCCTACTCCCTGTTCAACACCTGGATCCTGACAGCCATCACCTTACCTTACTGCTATCTTCCCATCACCACTCACCCCTTTAATATCTGCATATTCTAACCATTCCAACTCAGCCCCTTGCACCACATCTATCTCCAAGCTATGAACCTTTTGAAAATAATATATTTTCACGTAAAGAAATATAGCATCACGTTATAATTGAATGTTTTTATATAAAAAGATAAGTGATTGGCTCGCTTAATACTTAAACCATCTCATAGCAAAAATTGCGTGTAAAAAGAAAGAAATAAAATCCTATCTAACTGAATTTCACAACAATACAATCACCCCTATATATAATTTCTGAATGCACTGAGTCTAACTGACCGACTTGTATGATTCATAAGCTTATTTGACATAAATTGGCGGTCCGTATTGACACATATTCAGATTTAGTTTTGACTATTAAACTTAGAAATTACCATAAACTAGTTTAGCTTTCATTTTTTCTTGAGTTACCATATACTACTCTTACCCTTTTATTTAATTCATATATTAATTATTATAAATATCTACTTTTTTAAAAAAACTTTGTAAACTTTTTGTTTGTACTTTATTTTTTATATATGATATATCAAAATAATCATATTTATTATTTTAACAATATTTGATTTGGCATCCATATTGCATATATAAAATAAAAAATAATTTCGTCTATATTTATAAATAAAATCAATTTGATTATCAACTCAGTTTAAAAAATATTTTATAACAATATAAATTATCTTATAAAAATAATAAAAATCTAATTCATTAATGCACCATAAAATAATCATTTGATTGTTTTTTTTTCATAAATTTTTGATAAAATTACATAAAATAAATTTTAAGAAATATTATAAGATATTACTTTTCAATTGAAATATATTATATAAAAAATGGAATGTTATTATGTTATTAAAGTAGTAAATATAAAATAATATCATAAATAAATATAATAAAATAATTTTATATTTCATAAAGTTAGAAAATAATACATTTCCGCGTAAATTCTAAATTATTAATTATATGAATTTAAATACTTAAAAACTAATAAATGTGGGACACTAACTATATGTACAATAAAAATTTGTTTTGATTAAACAAAGGAATCAGATATATGAAGTTGATTTTAAAAATATAACTAAAAATATTTTGTTTGGCAAAGTTAGTGTAAAAATACGGACACCAATGGATTAGTTATCACTCTGTAGTTATTTATTATTGTTGCATATTATCTATCATATATAATTTTACAATAAAAATATAAAGAATTTTAATTTTTAGTGTACATATATTAATATATTTTAAGTACCCGTGTAATACACGAGTATTGCATTAAATAGACTTGATTAATCAAAAACATCCAAACAATAATCCCACATACAGTAGCCAAATCATATGGGCTTCCCCTTAGAGAGTAGGGAAATGCTACGTACGGTCCTAATACGGTACCATCTCGTCGGGTATTTTAATCGTTGGATCATCTACCTTATCTAACTACATGTGGATCTAACTAGTAAAACACCCGATCGAATGATACCATAACGGGAACGTAGCATTTCCCGAGAGTAACATGCCAAAACCCAAAAGTTATAATAATGTGGGGACATGTGGGGTGTTCCTCAAATTAACCCATTGTGTCATGTTATACCACGTTCTGTAGCTACAAAAATCTTTCTAAAACATGCTCATTATCATTCTCTAAACATAATCAACTATAGAAATACATGTTTAAAGCTGTAAACCATTTTAATATATGAAATGATATAAGGCCAGCAATTTCATAATTTCACTCCGTTGGAAGTTTCATTATTTGTTGACATTTTAACAAATGCCGACAAATATATTTATTTTTTTCTTTCTTATTTAATTTTTGGCCATGTCCACAGCTAGTTATTAGTTATATACCCACGGTGGGCAGTGCTCACCACTTTTTTTTACATGAAAAACGTATTTTGAGAGTACGTTTTTCGATTAAATTTAATTGAAAAACGTATTCTCAGAATACGTTTTTCATGTAAAAAAAAGTGGTGAGCACTGCCCACCGTGGACAAGTGAGCGGGACTAATATACTTATATATATTTAATCAAGAAAACTAAAATCCCATACAACTCTTCATCTCTTTCTTTCTTCACATCTCTAGCTAGATTTCTCAACAAACAAAATAAAATGAAAAATAAAACAGCCCTTGTACTATTTTTCGCTCTAATTTCGTCGTGCTTCGTAGCTCGTGGCAATGCCAAGAAGCAAATCGAAGCGCTTTCGCGTATCTACAGAGAGAAGATGAAAAGTGATGGTGGTGAAATCGACAGAAGCCATTTTCATGTCGATAAATTTCGAGACGCAAATTTTGAAGTTGAGACGGCCGAACAAGGGCAGAAAGAGAAAGACGTGATAGGGAGATTGCCCGGGCAGCCAGCTGGCAGTAACGTGTCGCATTACGGTGGATATGTGACCGTGAACAAAAAGGCCGGTCGAGCTTTATACTATTACTTTGTCGAGGCTCGCAGCTCTCACAACACATTGCCGCTTCTTCTGTGGCTCAATGGAGGTATGTGTGTGTGTGTAGTAGCTTATTTTTCTTTATGTTTGGTAATAAGTTGCCTCATTTTTTACTAGACTAATTATATCATTATCCATAATAATAATAATAATAATAATAATAATAATAATAATAATAATAATAATAATTTACAATCACTTTTTAATAGCTAGTAATAATAGAAGATGATGGTGATGATGATCATAATTACAATTTACTATATTTAATTAAGAGGCAAGTTGATGTAATTTTGTAGTAGGAATGATATGATTTAACTAATCCCACTTGTCAACATTGTTGTCTTTTGATTCGATACCATATTCATAGTGTTGACAGTGTTTTGATCTCAGATTTTAATAATTACAACACATTATGCTTGCTTAATTAATGCCTTAATCTAATGCTTTTGTTCATAATCTTGATTATTGTCTTGCATCTTTTAATTAACAGGGCCAGGTTGTTCTTCTCTTGCCTATGGAGCAATGCAGGAGCTCGGCCCCTTCCGTGTTCACAGCGACGGCAAAACACTCTACAGAAACAAATTCGCATGGAATCGTGGTATGCAGATAGTCTTCTTTCAATCGAGTACACGGAAATTAACATATCGATAACCATTTTTTCTATGTCTCTTTTAGCTGCGAACGTGTTGTTTTTGGAGTCGCCAGCTGGAGTCGGGTTTTCCTACTCGAACACGACTGCTGATTTCGTGACTGGTGGAGATAAACGGACGGCCATCGACAATTATGCTTTCTTATTGAACTGGTTAGACCGATTTCCAGAATATAAAAACAGAGATTTTTACATTTCGGGCGAGAGTTATGCTGGACACTACGTGCCGCAGTTGGCACACACCATTCTACACCATAATCAAAAGGCCAACAAGACTATTATCAATCTCAAAGGCATAGTTGTAAGTTCCTTTGTATTTTTGTGCATTTTTTTCTATGTGCCACTTGACAAATTGAGTGGACAATTTTGCATTTTCAAATTGTGAATGAGACGACTTGTCCACTTCATGAGTGAGAGACCACGCTGTCGGGCCAAAATTTTTTATCATTAATTTCTTCATCTAATAATGGAGAGTAATAAAAAAAATTTAAAGACAAACGTAAATAATAAAAAGGAAATATACTACAGTCCCGTTACGGAATTATTTCGTTATGGTTTGTAACAGTTAGATCAACTGTCTCTGACGGTTATATTATGTCCTAACAGTTATAAACTGTTGGAGTAAAAATGAATTGTCTCACATTAATTCTATAGAAAAAAATGAGCCTAGCTAGTATATAAGTCAAGTGGGCTACTCCTCTCATCACTAATTGGTTTTGGAATGAAACCTCACTATGGTGCACTTAGGCTTACCCTCTTATGGTGCGCTTAATATGCGTGGGACCGCACCCATTCCGTAACAGAACCTTAACATTTCCAATTAAAAAATGATCTTTAGATTCATTGGACCTTTTACCTTAATTTGGTTTAGTTTATTATATTCTGACAAACTCTCATGTCATTACCATTATAAATTAATTAATTCTAGCATAATTAATATTGACTAGCCCACGTGCTTCAATCTTGAATCTCGTTTAAGTGAGGGTGAAAAATGATTTGCCATAAAATTACATAATTAATATCTGGTGCTATATATATACACATCTCTAATCTAATATTTACAAGTAGACCCCTTATTAACCAACATATTCCATTAATTCAAATTCAGATTGGAAATGCTGTGATCAACGACGAGACGGACACGAAAGGGATGTACGATTATTTCGGAAGTCACGCTTTGATATCAGACGACATTGCGTATCAAATCAAGAAATACTGCGATTTCTCTCCAAAGGTCACCGAACAATCGGATAAATGCATTGAAGCTGCTGGTATAGCAGATAAGAACGTTGAGAACATTGATATATACAACATTTATGCTCCGTTATGCTCTAATCCTACCCTTACCGATAAGCCCAAGAAGATTTCAGTAAGCGATCATCATGTCACATAATATTTGATGGCGTTATAAAATGTGACAACAATATATATTTATATTGCAATTTGATGGCGTGCGTACGTACGTAGGGAATGAGCATTGACCCGTGCAGCGAACATTACGTGCACGCTTACCTAAATAGGCCGGAGGTCCAAAAGGCACTTCATGCGAATGTCACCAATATACCCTATGACTGGCAACCTTGCAGTGATGTCATCAAGAAATGGCAAGATAGCCCATCAACTGTCATCCCTCTTCTCAAAGAGCTTATAGCTAATGGTCTTCGTGTTTGGATATTTAGGTAAATAACTAACTGTCTTCACTTTTTTTCTTTTCCAGTAAGGCGGAGGCAGGAGTCGAACCATGCATATTCAGTTAATGTACGCTTAGTACGGTTGGATGATTTTGTGTGTGTGTATGTGCATTTGCAGTGGTGATACAGATGGGAGGATACCGGTGACTTCGACGCAACAGTCCCTTCACAAGATGAAACTTGGCGTTAAAACTCCATGGTACCCTTGGTACCTTTATGGAGAAGTAAGTTATAAGTGATATGCTATATGCTCGAAAATTACATATAAATTATCAGCTAACTTATTTATTGCGTTATTAGGTTGGTGGATATACACAAGTATATGAAGGCAACCTAAGATTCGCAACAGTGAGAGGGGCTGGGCATCAAGTCCCAAGTTACCAGCCAGCCAGAGCCCTTTCCCTCATTATGCATTTTCTTACTGGGACAAATCTCCCCAGTTAATTTACTACCTACCTACCTATCTCATAAATAAATTCAATACTAATTACCTTAACCCATTTATTCTTTCAAGCCAGCAAAAGCTTTTTTTTTTTTTTTTTTTGTGTGTGTTTTGGTTCATTATTTTCGTTAAATAATTGATTATTTTCTCCGATTCTTTATATATAAAATACATATTCAAAATAATGTTGGTGCTGTGTTTATTGTGATTAAATTAAATGCAGTTGACTGTCTGAAGCCTTTTTTAGCGTAGTGACTTTGAATGAATGTGAATCCAATGACCCATGTGTAGATTATTTTCAAGACTTTTTTTATTCAAACCTCAAAATGCAATTTATAAACGAAACTCAAAACGTACAATGCGAACAACCAAATGGTTGCTATGAGATCACAATCAAGCCCAAGCAAGACTATGAAAACGAGGAGGAAGGCTCAACACGAGCCAGGAACCAACGTGGCCACACACAACAAAGAAAGCTGCTACAAGAATAACCAAGTCCACACTGAACATAAAAACATAAACAAAGAAAACCACACTAAGCATTTAGCACAAAAGAAAACGACTTAACAAAGAAAAGGAGTACAAATATCACCAACTAAAGCTAAGATATCCCAGCCGCATAAAGCGTGTGAAGCTAACAAGTTCATCAACAGCTTATCATTAACGATCAGCACCACCCTTTCCAAGCCCAGCTCCAAGCCTTGCTCTAGCCAAACTCTGATGTCATAAAGAATAGCCTCCACTGATTGCTTCAGCTTTGTAGCCTTGGAATTGCTTCAGCTTTGTAGCCCTGGAGTTAATCCAATTAGCCACCTCTGAATTGTCAATAAAAGTTGAGCCTTGTACTTCCTAGACCAGTGACAGAGAAGCAGAAACTGGCAGCTTGAACGAGCTCCCCTATCCCTTGATTCTCAACATAACCTACAAGAGGATGAACCTTTTCAGCTCTCTCCCACAGTCCCCTACCAAACTTGATATTGTCAAACTCCAACCACTCAAACTTTGTTTTTTCAACCCGTTGCATTTCAGATGTATTCTCTCCTTGAAAGATCCAAACATTCCTTATCCTACCAGATAGGTTGAGAGTGAGATCTTATCCCTCTTAGAATTACTGCTCTTCAGTACAAACTGAAGGTCACTTTCAAGGACTAAAAATATATTCTCAAAATCAAACCGCTCAGTGAAACTTGGATAAAAGTAATCATGAAAATTATCATAATGTTATAGGTGCTAAGTCTGTCATTCGGGTGTTAACACACCACTACTCCACATGAAACAATCAGGTGGAGGCAACACGTCCTAGTTCAATGTACTTAGCGAGGTCTCACATGGGTTATGTCAAACTCGTGTCAAAACTCAAATCGATTTTACACGTCCTTCGGGACTGTTCCTTTGTGAAGTGTGTGTGGACCCAGTTGTTGCCAAGAGGCCATGATGATCAGTTCTTTCTTCAATCTTTGTCGGACTGGCTACGTGATAATATCTCCCCGGGCCCGAAGCACTCGTCCTCTCTTTGGGATAGCACCTTCGCCCATGCAACGTGGAGCATGTGGAAATGGCGTAATGACCATGTCTTTAATCATCGAACATTTAGCTGTGATGCAAGGAGGCTTGAGATTGCCCGCTTGACTGAGTCGTATACTCGTACGGCTTCCGCACTGAGACGGGTAGGGGCAAGTGTCCGTATCACGCGCATGATCCATTGGCATCCGCCTGACCCGGGTTGGGTTAAGGTGAATACTGATGGCGCTTTTCAGAGCAGCACGGGCGGCCTTATTAGGGACGAGTTGGGCCGGTGGGTTGCTGGCTTCTTAATGAACATTGGTATTTGTACTATTACGGGGCTTGAGCTGTGGGGTCTCTTTCACGGCTTACAGTTGGCATGGGATCGTGGATGCCGGCAGGTCTTGGCTGAGGTTGATAGTATGTGTGTGACGAGCATTGTTTCTGGCTCGGGTGACATCCATGGTACTCACGGGTCTCTGGTCCGGGCTATTCGGGAGCTATTGAGTAGAGACTGGCAAGTTCGGGTTGTTCACGTTCATCGAGAGGCTAATTTTGCGGCTGATTATATGGCCTCCCTCGCGGCTTCCTCTTCGTTGGGCCTGCAGTGTGTTCCCTCTCCTCCTTCTGGCTTGGGGTTTGGATGGATCATGATCTTCTGGGAGTCTCATATTCAAGACGCGTCTTAGTTTAGTCCCTATCTAGGCCTCTGGCCTCTTCTTTTGTACCAAAAAAAAACTTTGGCCTCAGTTTTACAAATAAATTTGCAGCAAAAATATCATAGGGAGTAATTTGGGCCCACGACCCTAGCCCATCAGCAAGCCCAAAACTGTGTTAGACCGTCCAGTGTTCAATTCCAAAGGTCCAAAGATGAAGGTCCAAGTCCAAGGCCAAGGTCCAGGCCCAGACCAATGCCGAGCTGGGTCGATCGATGGGCGTACGCACGCCTGTGTGACTGAAGCCATCACCAACACTTGGTGCATAACTTTATTGTTGTTGTGACCTCTCAAACTATCTTTATTATAATAAATATAGTTAATCTCATTTAACAATCCAATGTCGGAAATGCCTTTTGACCTTTCGAATCACATAACCAACATTTTATTTGTTTATTAATGGTTAACTTTAATCATTTAATTTTTTACTCACCCAAAATCACTTTTGAGAAAATAGATATACTTAAGCATCTATTGGGACTGAATAATTTTTATATGCACCACTTTATCCTCTGTGATCCTAGTCAAGGGTTTGGTCTCAACCCATTTGGTAAAATTGTCCACCGCTATAATTTTTTGTATAGTTTGTTTAATCTCCTGTATGGAAATTTTTGTTTCGGACCTTTGTAGGTGGTTGCGTAACTCCAACGAGAATTGATTCAGATTTTGTTTAGTTCTTGTGTGTTTTTTTACATATCAAATATACCTTTTTGAGTTTTTAATATAATTATCTTTTCGGAAAAAAAAAATAATAATCTATATCTATATAATGGACTAATCCTTATTGCCATAATTATCTTGAAAAAATTTTTCGGCTAAATTTGACATTTGATTAGTATTTATTTATTAGCAAATCTTATGTATCAAAAACATAATTATTTTTTATACGCTCAATGATTGTTACTCATTAACTACAAATTGGCTTAAATTGAAATTTTGACTAGATTTATTAGATATATTTTCAATAAGATCTTACATTAATTTAATAGTAATTTATTGATACAATTCAAAAAAAAATATTATGAATATTGATTTGATTAAATATATTATCATCTGTGGTTGTAGGTATTAATCTAATTAATTATATTCACTATTTATAAGTACTTAAAATATTTAATAAAATAATAAGAATAACTATATTTAAACCATGCTAACTTAATAAAGAATTTAAAATATTAATAAAAGTTTCTAAAATGTAGTCAATTTAACTATAAAAAGGTACATCACATTGAATATATCATATAATACTATTGAAAATTTAAATAATATATAAATAACAATAAAATTTGATGGTCGGGTGCAATTCATAATTATAAATTTCACCTTACAAGTATCTATGTACATTAAAAAACTATTCAATTTTTAAAAATACATATTTTTTTTTTCTTATATACTATTTTATAAAGAAAGAATAAGTTAATAAAAGAACAATGTATAATAATATAAAGTATAGCACTTGGTAATTATGGAAATATATAACATATTTAAATATTCAGATAGATACTATATAATTCATTATATATGTTGAAAACTGAATTAGAGAAATAAATATAAATAAACATGAAAACATAAAAAATAAAATATTTAAGCATAAAAATTTCTGTGTTGCATAAGGATTAAAGTTACTAAAAATTAAAATTTTATTTGTCAAAGTTTTGAACATTTAATGCATTTAATAATTATAACAAAAGATAAATATTATGGGTTAAACGTTGGTTAGTCATCAAGCAATGCGCAAATTATGAATTATTAAAAAATTATAAGACTTGATAAACGGTAATTTTATCAGTACATATAAGTAATTTGTATGCAAATATTATATGATTTTATAAATTTATAACATTTTATAAACTAATAAATAATAAAATTTATATATTAAATAGCCAAAAACTACAAAAAAGAACATATAGAAATAAAAAGTTAACAACAATAGTAAATAAATAAATGTCATATTATTACTTAATAGGATATTGTGGAGAATAGAATTTCATATTGTCTTAAATAACTTTATAGTATTTAAATAAAATATTTCTTTCTATTGCACCCCGTGCATCGCACGAGTATCAACACTAGTGAGAAGTAAACCATAGTTTTTTTATCCGGACCGGCCCTCCGGCAACCCGAAGCCGGAACCGTCGGGGTGGAATATTTAGACCGGGCAACAAAAGACCCGGTCAAAACCCCGCCAAGCCGGCATTGACCCGGCCGGCCCGGTGCATTGACCGGCCGGGTCAATTCGATCCAGCCGGGTCAATTTGATCCGGCCGATATATGTTTTTTTTTATTTTTTTTTAAATAAAACTTTGTATATACGTTTATATGGTAATATTATAAAGAGAAACATATTATTAACACTTTAATGTACAAGTTTATACACAAAATATATAATTTTGTTATTTTTATATATATTTATATGACAAAAATACCCTATATATAATTTTAAAAATTTCAAAATTAATTATCTAATTCAACAATTGAACCGGTGACTCGAAGATTGAACCGCAGACCCGATGACCTTGAGACTTGCCCGGGCGGTTACTGGGCCGGGTTTAAAAAGTATGAAGTAAACGCAAAATACAAAAAGAAAAATGAAAAAAGAAAATAAACAAAAGGGAGCTGCAATATTGGCCAAGGCAAAGGCAAACGGTACATGGACGCTACGACTTCGTCGGGCCTCCGGCCGCCACAGGCAAAGAAGCGGCGGCGTACCGCCCCAACTGCCGTGAACGCTCTAGGAAATGATGTTCTGTGCATGATTTTCGCTTTTCTCGACCTCATCCACCTTATTCGATGCTCTGCTGTCTGCAAATCATGGTATGCTACATCTCCATTTTTTACATTCTAATTACTTATTATGTTAGAATTAAGATGGGAAACATGAACTGTTATCCTAACCTCCCTGTGCACCTTGCTTTGCTCGACTTAAAAATCTTTTAGTGCGTGCAAATAGGCGGATTCTTGTTATTATGCAGCTACAATGATGGTTTAGACTATGTGTAATTCGTGATTTTGGCTCAAAAGTGTTTAATTGAATCATTTTACTTGTCAAGTTTCTTATGCTACTGGAAAAAAAAAAAAAATTGATATGCAGTAATTTAACAATTTGTTTCCTTCCATCTTTAATTGTCAAAGGAGAACAGTGATTAATAAACTGAAGCTACTGCAAATACAATATCACAATCAACACCCAACAAGTTCTGGTGGCGGCAATGATTTGCCTAGATTTTCAGAAAGATCGATAAATATACAGATGGAGCAGTTAGCCATGGATCGGCAAAGGTCGTCTTTGCAAGAAGGTGAAATTGATATTTCTCAATGGAAAGCTCACGCGGTAGGGTATAATTCCTTTTGCCTCTGCCAGCTTGTCAATATTTAGTATCTAACCAGTTTGCATTGGTTCAATACACATACTAAGTACCAGGCCAGCTGCAAATGCATGTCGACTTTATTGTAAAATTCAATTATTTGCTGCTTGAATTTCTTCAATTTTCAGTGTGCTGACTGTACCTTAAGCACCTATAAATAAGGGAACAAAATGCGACTCGAGAACATGAAACTTACTTAAAATGATTCTTAAATTATCAGAACTTTGAAGAATGAGCACGGTTTACCTATTTCTCAATTTGGTCCAAAATTATTGTGTTATTGCTTCATTAAGGTTGAACTTGTTGTGGATCGAGTAGGACTAGATAACTAGAGGTTTCCTTCTCCCAATTACGGTTATAGGGTTAGATTTTTCTTGTTGATTGTGGGTCAAGTTGAATGTGAAATTTTCTGTATGACTTCTTCACTTTGGTTTCCTTTTAGGTTTAACAAGTGCAGGATGAAGATGGGGTTGATTCTTTCTGGTGGGGGAGATAAGGTCGGGACGCATTCACTTTTTTAGCTGTTGTATGACTCTTAGCAAATCAAATATTGCGTGCAATTTTTCTCTCTTCTTTTTCTTTTCCGAGTTATTAACCATGTCTTCAAGGGCTTCCAATTTTCATGATATATTCTTATTTTTCAAACCTTTAAACTAATATCTGAAATGGTTAGACAATTGGTTAGTTAATGAAGAATATGTAGCACCTTGTATAATATATATTTGTAAAATAAGTTATTGAACATATGAAAATACTGACATTCTGTAATAGAATAAATTTGTTCTGTTGTTCTTAATGCTGTTCTATGAGCCCCAATAGTTTTCCTACAATCCGGCTGATGGAAGGTATGGATATTGCTCAAACTTCGGTAGACTTTGCCGTGCATTGTCAGTGTACCATTCTCTTATACTTTTACGAAACCAATAATGGTCTTGTTTTAAAAGTATTTGCTTCTTTGTTAGTAAATAGTTTCTCATGGACTTGAGTGTATGCTATTTAAGTCAGGTACCAAAAGAAAAAGAACAAAAACATCCAACGTGTTTCTTATCGTGAAATTTATTTCACTATATTCAACCTGTTTTTGAAAGATATGGTCCCATACAGAATCATTTGTTTTTTTTTTTCAAATAAATATGCTTCTTACTCGTATGTGACATTAGGTACGCCAAAACTATCTTTCTCTAATGGAATTTCAAATATCCAATTAAGTGATCAAATTTGCAGGTTAATAGTTTTGCAACCACAAAAACAATATCCTAATGCTGCAGATCAGTGGTAATATGTGGGCAGTCCCACTATTTTACAGAGATATATGATTATATTCCAATGTATCCGAGTTTTACTTCAATTATTTGGTGTTCTCTGTAACATCATACTCTTTATACTCTTGTGTTAATGTGCAGCTACAAAATTGATTGTCCAAAACTTTTTGGCTCTCAGCATATTGTGAAATTGTTATTTTGTTTCTTGCACAATACATGAACATTTCTACTTTCACTCCTTGATTAGTTTAGTTGAATTTACATGTTAAGTTCCACCAATAGTGATGAGAGTTTATATATTTATCAGATGGGAGTCCCCCAGCATGTGTGTGTGTGTGAATTGTCGTGCTCGTCTCCATTGCATGCTATTGGGGACTGATAGTTCATAATTCTTTGATAATACTGATTACTGCAAAAACTGGTAGGTAATGCGTCTCTGGTCTGCCGAGAGTTGTAAAAGACTGGATGAATATTTTCTACCCGATAAAGCTCCACTAATTGATTTTGATTTTGATGAGGGAAAGGTAATGATGAACTCTTTGGTACTGTCAGTTTGTTTCTCTGTGTGTTGCACGATCTATTTGATTACCCATATTGTCTTCTCAATCCTGCAAGAAAAAAAAAATGGTACAGTTAGCATGTTTGAAATTCTTATTTGTGAAATACATAACTGAAAGAATCGTGTAAGTCCAAATATTCTGTGAATAATAGGTCTTTCGTGTGGAAAGATTCTTCCGTATGATCTAGATTACATGTAACCTTTGGCTTTCTTTGCTCGTGTATTTTAGGTTGTTGGTCTTTTGGGGACTCGTATATGTATATGGAGGCGCATTGGTAAGAGAGAGATAATTTCATCACTCGAGGGCTTGTTTACTAGGGGAATGTGCTTGAGGTGGGTGAGGTTCTAGTTGTGAGATTTACTCTTCAAACCCTGTCTTCATGAGACAAATTCATTCTTCATGTCTAAAATGCAGTTATTGTTCCCAGTTCCTTAGATATTTTGCTACAGATATCCGAAAGTGGGTTCTAAATTATTTCCTCCATCTTTACATATAATCCATTGGATTCCTCATGCTTCTGTTTATGTCGAAATTTGTCTCCAAGTTAAACTATGTTGATCAATGACGGATGTACATTAGGTCCAGGGGGGCCCGTGGCCCCCCCTGATTTTATTTAAAAAATTATTATATATATACATATAAAACGAAATAGTATAAAATATAGATAAAAATGCAAAAAATATTTATAATATATAAGCAATTAAAACTTATTTTCTATGCTATTTTAGTTAAAGTAATAATATTATGTATTTATTGAAAAATACCCTAACAATATAATATTTTACATTTATAGATAACTTTTTGAAAATATTTAAATCTTTATGTCTCTTAATTGTAAGTCAATTTAGTGATTAAACCGAGTAACTGGTTGAATTGTTATTTTTTAATGTAGATTTTTAACTTTATTTTCTCTGTAATCACATATTTTTTGATTTATTTTATTTATTTTCTTGAAAAAAGTGGTCATTCGATATGCCCACATCAACAAAAATATTATGCAATGTGTTGTAAAAGTTCAATTTAAATCAAATTTTCAACCATAAAGCTTATTTTTCATAAATTATAGATGTTGAACTTATATTATAAATACATAAAATCTCATTTTCTTTATTTTTTATTTTTTTATTTTGAGGGTTGTACAGATTCTATGTGTTTAGAAACATGATGGTACATTCATCAATATTTATATTTACAAGTAGACACAATTTTATATTAAATATGAGTTTCGAGTTAAACTACAAGCTCGGTATTTAACATTTAAAATTGAGCCCCCCTAACAAAACTTCTAGATCCGTCACTGATGTTGATACCATTAGGGACAGTATTATTATGGGTGAACCACTAAGTTGGTGTTGTAGCTGCACGTGCCATGATTTTGTGTAATTAGTTTTTACTTGACAAAATGGTGGTTTTATCATTAACTAGATACCTTGTTAAAGGGCACAATTCATAGATTTTAATTCTATATGCATTGATGACATTATTTCAACATGTGTGACATACTTTTGGCTGAGTAATCCCATTTCAATACTCCTATCTTTTGCAGTTACGTGGACCCGCTTGCAGTGGTTGGGTGTGAAGATGGGAAAGTCCGTGTATTTGATATGTACAGCAGAAAGATTTCGCAGATAATCAAGTATGCATCTTCCCTTCATTTTTATTTATTTTTTTTTTTTTTGGCATTATTTTAGTGTGCAATCTTTGCTTGCATGTTTCCTTCCTCATTGATTAGTGATGTAGTTCATGGCATTATTATTGCAGGATGCATCCTGGGGCAGTATCATGTTTATCTTTCACAGACGAGCAATTGATTGTCAGTGGTTCATCTCATGGTACTATTTCAATATCAGATCTTTCATCCGATCAGCGGGTCATCACCTTGGACACAACCAGTTCTGCAGGTTTGTTGATATGAAGCATTGTTGTCCTTCAAAGTTCTAATGATGATAATTGCTTTGCAGCTGTTGGTACCCATCTTTATCCATGCTTTTGCCACCTTTATTCTGTAGCAGGCATAAAAACTTTATGTGTGAACCCAAGCTCGTATAAACTGTTTGCTGGATCAAGTACAGGCCATGCATCTTGTTGGGACCTAAGGTACACGTGCTAACTGCTAAGACATCATTCTTGCATCTTTCCCCTTTGGCTTTGTGTCCTCTCTAAACACCTGTTTTTTGAATTTGATGAAGTTTTTAACTGCCTAATTTAGAGTTATGCAGAATTTAACCATGTCAAAATATAGCTTGTAGTCCAATTCGGAGGCAATTATTAAAAATATATTTACTATGCCTAAACAACATAAATCTGTAGGATGTAAATTTTTTTTTTTGTGATTCTGTTTCTGGAGATAAAAATAAAAGCCATATGTTGAATTCAGTATATATTCCATGAATTCCATAGCATGAGTGTGGGTGGTTGATCCTGGCTATCACTATCATGGCAAAAGGAAAATGAAATAAAACAAAGGATGGAGTTATTAATGATACGCCTTTTCGTTCAGAACATCAAGAAGACTATGGGAAACACGAGCAAGCCCCAATGTGCTTCACTCCATGCATCACTTGGCGAATGATAAATCAACATTGGTTGTTGGTGGAATAGACGGCGTTTTAAGAGTCATCGACCAAGACAGTGGAAATATACAGTCTCGGTGCATCGTGTCAGAAAATAGCAACATGGCTAAACGTGTAGTGGTAAATAATGTAGTTATTGAGAAAAAGAAAGGAACAAGACTTTCGGAAAATGACCGTATTGACCTCATGCGAAATCGACCCCCCATAACATGCTTGGCTGTTGGGATGCAGAAAGTCGTTACCGCGCACGGGGACAAAAACATTCGAGTGTGGAAGTTTGACTGTGAAAATGACAAGGGGTGATGTTATTACTTTACTGCATAGGTTTAGTGTATTGGTCAATAAAGAAAACTTATACTGATTTTTCTCTTTTGGTTTTTCATGGAGACCAAGCAAGAAACAATTCATTGTATTTTACTCAACTCCGTTAATAGTTGTGTTTTACTTGTTCTAATTTTATGTATTTACAAATATTCATGTATTTGTTAATCCTGAGGTTTGAGTTGTTTTGACCGTGTGATACTGGATACAGAATCATGTGTAGAACAAACACATTGCAAAGAACATAAATAACACACTCCACAAAAAATAAAAAAAAAAATAAATAAAAAAAAAATAAAAAAAAAGGAATAAATCTCAATTTTTCATATTAGTAATCCACTCCTAATTACATTCATAGACGATATTTTTATAATAGAAATAACCTTGTCCAACAAGAATTAAATCCTAATAATAATAACTACCCTAATAAAAAAATTAATAATACAATCTAATTTAAGTAAAATATTTTCTAATCTCCATCAGAACCCAAAGTAAGAACGCAACGAATAAATCTGAAATAATCCAAGGATGAACAGCTCCCATTCCCTATATTTAGGAACAACAATCGTAGCATTACGTTTTCAAGGGAATGAAATCAGAAGGTTATATTAAAAGAAAAGCCACCAAATATTTTTTATAATTCAAAAACGACTATTCTTACACACAAGCAAAGGAAAAAACTGAGTCGCCACAACACACGAAAAATATCTTTATGTTCAAGGTGAAATCTACTTCTTGGCATCAGTTGATGAACCTATCTGTGTCTTAACAATACTTAGCTGACCACCATCTTTATTAGCAACTGTTGCCGCTTTTATCTCATTGCACTGGTTTATGAACTTACTGAGCTCCTGATCCACCAAAATAAAAGAGAAGGTTAAGCAGTTAGCAGTCGTATTCATATGAGCACGGGAAAATCAAACACGGGAGCATAAAAAAGTCCAGCTTATTTTCTTGAAAAACTAGTCTGATTGCTCAGGTCCAATTGATCAAATACTAAAAGAGATCTAACATAAAGGCAATCATTCTCTATTAGTTCAACAACTACATTAAGATTCAATAAAAACATGGTAACTTTCACAAAACATAATCCCTAGTTAAGGGAAGATCTCTGCTGAGAGTTGCTATTGCAATACATAGTTATGTTGTGTTCTGTTCCAACTCTTCTCGGCTTCTCCATAGGCCATAAAATTCGTAATGAAAAATCGTTTAGATTCATAACTCATATCTGAATAACCAATTTTCTGAATGGAACTCAATGTTTAAGATACCGGGGGTCGCGTACTCACTATAAATAAAATTAGTAGTTTGCACTCGAGCAGATTATGTTGATTATCACAAAATCCAATGACTCAAAGCTGCGATATTATATTTTGTTAAACACATATATTTAACCAACTTTAACATTGGTACAGAATAGGACTGCAAACAAGCCGAGCCAAGTCGAGCATTGGCCTTATCAAGCAAGATTGAGTTTTTTTTAGCTGCTCGAGCTCGATTTTCAAGGCTCGAGCTCGACTCAATAAACAATTACAATAGCTTGAGCTGGACTCGAAATCAAAATGCTCGAGTGCGGCTTGAAAATTTTTAGTGGCAAGGTAAAATTACCATTAAGCACCTAATCTAATATATATAATAAGGGGTATTTTAGTAATTAAACGTGTATCACGAGCCGCTCGACAAGGCAAAATATAGACTCGAGCTTCGACTCGAGCGCTCGCGAGCCGCTCGATTCATTTGCAGTACAGAACCAAAGATTTTTAAAAAACTATAGAATTCAACAACGAAAGAACATTAAGTTATACTGATACATGTAGATGCTGATGTTAATCAGCAAAACAGGAAATTCTGATAGCAAATATACACCAACAAAAATATCTGCAAACTTGAGAGCATCTGAATTTCTTACTACACAGCACATCAATAAGATTCAAACATTCTACGGGAAGATATAAAGCTTTTACAAGCTCAAATCAAATCAATATCAAATGCCACTAACAGCAGAAACACCCATAGTTTCACAACACAAGAAAATATGAAAAGAAAACTCAGTTCGATACCAAATCAAAACTCGTTCATACCTTTTCGGTCTCCATCTCTTTAGTCACCTTCGATGGCTTCACCACTCTCTTCCCTTCAAAATTGCAAAAAACGAATTAACATCAGATTTAATACATCTGTGAGTTCAAACGCTAGAGTGTGGTTTATTATATGATGCGAATCACCTTTGCGCGTGTGATTGACTTTGCCATGTCGATTGGGAGGAATTGATTTCTTTTTCTGCTGCCCTTTGAACAAATTTGCCTTCTGCGTCATCTTCGTAGGTTTTAGGTTTTATCAGAAGCTCTAGGGTTTCTGTGACAACAAGTGAGGAGATTTAAATTGCAACTTGTGAACGGTTTGGCTAGCCGGTCTATACCTTATGAGAGAGACAAAAAATAATAGTGCCATACATTTTTTTTTTTAATTTAAATTTTCACATAGTTTGCAATCAAATATCATAAACATATCCATATTTTTATCTATATAAAAAAAGTTTGATTATTTTTGGAATAGTAACTATTTCCTCTTAAAAATATCTATATA